CAGAAAAATTAAACAGACCAAAAAAATAAGAATGAAGTTTGGTCAGCAGCTTGGTATTCATCCACCCAAGGCAGAAAACCCAAAGAGAGACTGCTGGGGTTCACCTCCTAGCTCTTTCTCTCCCTAGTTATTTAAACTCTGAAAACCTCAGTTTCTTAAGCACAAAATGAGAACAATGATAACTAATCTCAGGATCAGGTAAATATAAATGATACATATTTCTAAGGATGATAAGATCTGTAAAACAGTTATAGCTTTTGAGTTATAGTAATAAGCATTCAATAAATGTTATCTATTATTATTTTCCTTTTTTTATTTCTTTCCTTTTTTTTTTGCCATGCTAGGGACCAAATCAGTTATTATTTAAAAATGAAAAACACTTTAGAATTATTTCCCCAAATTTGTATTCTAGATGGTGTTACCAATGAATTACTTCAACGTTTTAAAGAAAACATAATTTGTACAAAATGTGAACTAAACAGGGTCCAGAAAAAACCCCAAGTTCCTCTCACTTATAAAGAGGCCATATCAAGAAGTTAGCCCAGACACATCTAGGAAATCTACTGTTACAGTAATAAAAACTAAGATTGAGTATTTATCATGTGTAAGAGTCGATGTTGCCCTTTCATAGACAAAGAAACTAAGGCTTAGAAAGTTTGAGCAATTTGCGGTCCCCAGCTGAAAGGGTCATGTTTCAAAGACCATCTGACCCAAAGGCCTCATCTTAACCATTCCATTTATCTAATTCAAATATGACATCAATTGATTAAAATTTTTAAATGATGATCTCATTAAAGGCCAACAAGCATTTAAGAAAATCTAATATCCCTTTCTGATTAAGTCAATAAAATAAAGGTATCAGAATTGTTTCTTACTTAAAGATTATCTATCCTGCACCATCAATCATTATCTTACCAAACAGTAAACTATTTCAGCAGTTATTTGAGAACAAGAATGTCTGATGTAACAAAAGAACCCTAGAAATTCTAATTCCTGGAAGTTGGAGTCTCCTCCACTTCTAATAATGATGAAGACATTGAATATTTACTGGGTGTGTTCTATATGACAGATGCTTTTATGTATAGAACTCATCTAATCCTCACGACCACCCAGGAGGCAGGTTCTATTATTATTTCCAATTAATAGACAATAAAACTAAGATACATAGAGAGATTTGAGATGTAAAAAAAAAAAAAAAAAAAGTAATGAGGCTTTGTGCTCAGGAAGGCTGGGGTTGGAGCCTGAGTCAATAAATTGAGGTGCAGTTTAGGGCAAAGAGAAGTTATCCGTCTTTCTTTGAAAAATATGTGATCTTATGCCTAGAAATTCCAAAAAGAACTTTTTGTAAAAGTGGTAGAATTAATGATAATATTCAATAAAGTCTATGGCTGTGATCAATACTCTAGAATTATGAGTGGTTCTCTCTATTGTACTAGTAATGGCCAGAAAATAGAATGGGGGCGGGGGGGAATACCATGATATTTAGCAACAGAAATATCTAAAATTAGTCTTAATTATAGAAAACAATTCTGAAGAAAATAATAAAAATTTACTGAGAGACATGAAAGACTTAAGCTAATAGGAAAACACTAAAACTAGAGCAGTTTAAAAATCAGTTTTGAAATTAGATTATCGGCTCCATATAATTCCAATAAAAATTACAATGAGTGGGTTCTTT